GATTTTAATCTATCAAAATTTAAAATAACACATGTGCTTTACTTTATTCTGCAAAAATAACTTTTTATTGTCAAACTATTTGGAAACATATTTAAGCATAGAAAAATTACATTTTGTTTTGTGAAACATTTCTAGTTATTTCTCTACAATAAGATTAAGTAAAAAAAAATAATAATTATCTTAACTAAATAAAATTAAACAATTAATATCTATATAAAATGATAATTTTGGTTAAGGTGTTTCCTGGCAATTAGTCATTACCTTTTTTATAATGAGTATGAATTCAGAAGGTACTCAAAATTGTATATTTTGACTGCTAGTAAAATTTTTCCAAAATTTACATTGACATAAAAAATAATATAAAGCAATTGAATCATAAAACCACTTTTTATTATCTAGAACTCACGAGAAATTTTTATACCTTTATAATCAAAGTTACATATGACAAATCCGGTTTATCTAAGTTACAATTTGTAATAATTAATTGCATTTTAATGGCTTAGCAACAATTGCATATATATATATATATATATATATATATATATGTATATGTATATATATATATATATATATATATTTCTAAGTGGAGACTTATTTGAATAAATGAACGCATAAAACGATTATTAAATCATGCGTTTGTTTAATAATTGATTTTTACATATATAACTAGGCCTATAAAAATACCCAGACAAGTTTTTTTTAATTACTAATTACATTAGAAAATTACGCAAACTTATGTCATGGATTTAATTAGACGTTGAGTTATATCATATTGTAGGTATTGATTAAACATTTTTGTAATTTATGCGTAATGATTCGAGAACTTTATAAAATATATTATTAATTAATTAATTGATGTAAGAGAATACATTTTATGTTAAATTAGGAAATAATTTTCATTTATATATTTTTATCTGAATTATTTTATTCGATTTTTGGTAAACTAGAAGCAAATGGTACACTCCATAAACATATTCATTAATAGAAATGAATTAATAGCAATTCAATTACTATTTACAAACTGTATTTAAAATGCTTCTGAATTAATTATAATACGTAAAAAATAGATTTTTGTTTTAATTTAATATTTATTCTTTATGATTATTATTGGGAAATATATTTGACAATAATTGATAACCTGATATCAATTAGTAAAGATTGTACGAGACATTTCAGTGGTTAATAAATTGTTGCATATTTTTAAAAAAATCTGTAGAACTTCTTTTATTGATAGTGTTCATGGTCTTAACAAATATAGTAAAATATTATAGGCCTACGAGAAGTGGTTTAATTATAACAATTTCTTGATATTTGGAATAATAGGCCTTGTCCAAATTTCAAACTCTTATCGTCAAAATTTTAAAAGTTGTTAAATTTCATTTCTTTTGCAAGTTGTTTTAAGACAAAATTATACTTGGTCAATATTATATTCCTCAGAGTCTTGAAAAATAATAGATTAATGCAATTTAAAGCAACAATATATAGTTTCTAGAATGATTTTTTTTAATATTAATGTATCAAAATCGTTCAAAATTTGAGTCTTGGAAAATAATAGATTATTACGATTTAAAGCAGCAATATACTATACTTTCTAGAATGATTTTTTTTATTATTAATGTATCCAAATCGTTCAAAATTTGTGTCTTTAAGTCTGGGAAAATAATATATTATTAAAATTTAAACTAACAATATACTATTTTTTCTAGAATGATTTTTTTATTATTAATCCATCAAATTTGTTTAAAATTTGTATAATTACTCCATTATAAATTGCCTAAAAATAAATAAGTAAAAAATATAGGAACTGAATAAATAGGTAAATAAAAAAGATTCATCAGTATTACGAGTACTAGGTATTTTGCATGAATTTTTTAATTAAACTGATAAAAACGTATATTTTTAATACTTCTATTATGTTTGAAATACACAAAACAACTATTATATTTGATTACCTGCAAAATATTTTTGTATACACAAATTGTAAATTCCCAGAATTATTTATAATATCATGTCACGGTTTGAGTAATCTATATTTTTGTTAATAACTCTATTTTCTCATCACCGAATTAAAATTTATATATTTAAATATATATATATATATATATATATATATAATTTAACAAAATTGAAATTTTAGTGTAAATATTATTATTATCTAATATACTTTACTATATAAATCTCGTGAGAACAAAAACAAGGACATAACAAATAATAATGTCTCTATACTATTTATAGGGACATGGGAAATAATTTAATCATTTGTGGTCAGAAAATTCATAGAAAATGCAACATTAAGAGAAAACGTTAATTTTATATGTCATGGGAGTAATGGATTTATTTGAAAAATATTACATAACATAAATAATAATAGTACATTTTTTAAAACAAAATTTGAATAAAGCTTTTTTTTTTAACTTCTCATATTGAAATACAACGATTTTCGAAGAAAGTTTTTTTCTTTAGAAGGTCCAACCAATTTTCATCATTACTATAAAGTTATATGCCATAGAAGTAATGGATCTATTTGAAATTTATTACATAACATAAATAATAAGAGTACATTTTTTAAAACAAAATTTGAATCGTGGTTAATCTTTTGTTTTTTTAGCCTCCCATATTGAAGATTTTCGAAGAAAGTTTTTTTCTTCAGAAGGTCCAACCAATTTTCATCATTACTATAAAGTTATCAATTGCATTAATTCAATAATGATTCCCAAAATAAGTAGTTGTAGTCATTTTTATCCAACCAGTTTTAATTTTTGCAGAAGGCAAACTACGCAATTATTTTTTGATTAACATTTTCAAATTAGAGGTATTTGCAAACAAGTACTCTCCAATAATTAATCGTTAATATAAATAAATTTTATGATTCATTAAAACCATTTCTTTGTTTTCGTGTTATCGATAAAGTGTCACGAGTGTGCTTTTATTATTGGTAATATTATTAACATGCTTAATTGCGTTTGATATTTTGGCAAAGAAATTAATGTAATTGTAAAGTACTACTTCATATATATATATATATATATATATATATATATATATATATATATATATATATTAGATTTTTTTCTTCGACGTTGAAACATAATTTGAAATATTTAGTTACACCCAGATATTAGAAATAAAAAAAAACTATTAGTTCATGACATCGACAATGTTGAGGCAAATTGCTGCAACTTCCTGTTTTTGAGATTTTGAAAATTTTTGAAAAAAATTACCATTTTGAAAAATTTGATTTTTTTACTTGAAATATTTTGAAAATTGTTACAAAACCCATAGAAAGTAAACAAAATTGGTTATAATGATAAAAATATCTACAAAGTATGAAATAATTTGATACGCATATGTCTAATGATTATTTTTGTCTGCCAAATGCCATTTGTCACTTTTTTTATGGGTTATCCGAAACGGCTAGACCAGTCTTTACCAAAAACTAATCATCAAGTCTCCTTATCAGCAGGAATCAATTGTTTTTTTAATTATTCAAATCGGTTGATCCGGGTTCGCAAAATCGTCGATGAAAAATAGTATCCGCTCATACATACACATACACACACACATTCAACAATTTTTTTTGAGGTATGCCAAAATGTTCAGAAACCTCTGAAACGTAAAGATATATAAAAAATGTTATTTTCAATTTTTTGCAATTATTATAACCTACCCTACGGAAAGATAATTAACTATAAATATGTACGTTTTGACACTGTATGTGTGTCATCATTTAGCAAGTTAACAAATTCGAACCAGGAAATTGACACAAAATTTAAAGACTAAATAAAAGAAACAAATCATTGAATAAAATAAAATATTAAACTAGTAATTAAATTAAAGAATTATATTATATATTTAGTCACATGATTACTACATTCTACATTGTATAATCAATGTCTCTATTACTACCTATATTACTCGTTAATTTCATTTATCAAAATGTTTCGACGATCCACCAATTTTTGTATGCTTTTATAATTTACAACGAGAAAAACCCTGTAGTGCAAATTGTTGGAATAATGTTGCATGTAGTTGCATTTGTTTGCAAAGTGCATTAGTTGGGATAAACCAGTTTCTTTCAACTAACTTGTTTGAAAAAATGTCTCTTCACATTGAAATATTTATTAAATCAAATATGAATTTATTAGATAATTTAAGTAAATCAAATTATATTAAAAAAGATAAGATTAAAATATGAAATTAATATTATTGGTTAATGTTACAAGTTACAAATATATTTTACCCTTCACACTTTTTTACAAAAGTCCAGTCCGGTGTTTGAAAAATTATCTTTGAGAGGAAAATATTTAATAAATTAAATATTAATGCGATAGATAGTATTGTTATTTTAAAATATTAAAAAACATATGTTTAAAATTCAAAATTGAATTTTATTATTTATTGTCACAACTATTTTTTGACTCTTCTGACTTTTTTTATATAAAAGTCCATACAGTTTTAAAAATAGTCAACCTTATAATGAACCAATCAAACAATATCTTTCTAAATGAAATTAATGTCTGTAATGTATACAATTTTTAACATCCCATAAAGTAAGTTGAAGTAATTGCAAAAAATCGAAATTAGTTCTTTTTGCATACTTTTGCCTTTCAAAGGTTTCAGAGCATTTTGGCATACCTTAGAACAAATGGTTGTACGTGTGTGTTTTTTTTTTGTAATTTTTTTCTATAGCGAAGGAAATGCTTTTATGCATCCCAGACTGGATGTAAGTGTGTGTGTATGTATATTTGTGCGGATACAATTTTTTGTCGACAATTTCAAGAGCACGGATCAACTGATTTGAATGATTCAAAAAACATTCGATTCCTATTGATGGGGAGACGTACTGATTAACTTAGTCTTTGGCAAGTGCAAGTCCAGTCGTTTCGAAAAAGTCCAGATGTTTCAAAAAATGATAAAACTTTGAAAAAATTTAGCAATGGTATCGGAAGTTCTAGCACAACTAGTTTGAAATTTGATTTTATTTTAATAATTTTGCTCACCTCTCTTCAGCAGTCAAATGCGCCAACTCCGGAACATAGCACCAATGTTCTTCCGGAGCCACGGTTATAAAAATCTGCGTAAAATACACAAACGCCACAAAAAACGCATAAGGTATCATCAGCAAGAACAGAACTTTTTGATATACCCCAAATTCTCCAATGTGCGGCAATACATCATCGAAATCCAGAAGCTTCCCATCGTCTTTGGATTTTTCATCGTCATTCAGCGGGGAAACCTTGGGCAACTTTCCTGGAAAATCGCCGACGCCTTTTTCGAAGGCTTCATTGATGTAACCGGTTTTTCCTATTGGGGGTAAACTCAGGGCACCACAGGCACCGGTTTCTGTGTCTTCTGTACAGTTGCCGGTGTTGACCGGTGGTAGGGAATTGGAACCGTAGGGCGGCATTTTTTTTGGCACTTGGGGTAATGGATTTATTTAAATGGCTTGGGATTTATTGGTTTTATCACAAAATGGTAATAGAGACTAGATACACTAAAAAAATAACAATAAATAATAATTTTATATGAATCACAAGAAGTATACTAATTATACCAGGAGTCTCTGCACACTGTTCTATATAATTCACTTAATTTTTATACGTAAGCTAACAAATGTCTTGTATATATCACAATTGATAGGGTGCAATATAATACTACAAATTTCTTTAAAGTTCACTCAAGTCATTGATTGTATCCCCTTACCATGTGTCCCCTTACCATTTACACCTATTTTTTTTTCAATTCACTAGTTTACCCGGATTGATAAGAAAAACGAATTCGATCATCGATTATAATCGATTGCTTTACAGGTGTCATGTTAGTGTGATTTCCATATGCAATTGTTTCGATATGCGCGTACGCCGGACGCTTTGCTGGTACTGAAGCGCTTATTATGCGGGAGCGACGTCTTATATAGAGTGAACGGTTCTGACAAGGCCGATGTGCGTGCGTTTACGGTCATGAGAAAAAAACCGAAGAACCGAAGACAGGAATTGTTATCTTAACTAGGAGTACTTGGTAGAAAGATGCCCTATGCAGTACTTGGAGTACTTGGTATAAAGATGCCCTATGCACATCATCAATTACTTTTTTGCCTTAGCAAGTTGCATAAACTACCCGAAATATATAGGGTTGAGCGTGGCACAAAAGTCAAATATAAATTTGAGCACTTATATTATGAAACCAATAATATAACAACGATCATTTGCCTATGTTCAGTAAAACCCCTAGCTAATTTATCACTATAAAATGAGGGACAAACTATAAAATTTTTGTTGCTTTTCAAAAAATTTCTATATTAGTTGAGGTAAAATAAAATTGCTGGTGGACAAATATATCCACCGTTCTATTTTCAATTTAAAATTTTCAACCAATGCAAAATATACATTTTACAGATATAACTGCTAGGAGACAAACATATTCAATGTTTTATTTTTAATTTAAAATTTTCAACCAATGCAAAATATACATTTTACAGACATAACACTGTATATAAACTTGATCTGGCATTTTGTCAGATATATTCATCACTATTTATTTGATTTATATCTTGTAAAATTACATTTCTCAACTTAATTTTCCTCTTTATTTAATATGTTCTATTGATTACACCTTTGCCAGGGTAAAGGTTCAATTTCTCCTTTCCCATCCACGTGCAAGCTTTTATAGAGGTTATATAAAAATGTTGAATCTAACATGGTGAAAGAATCGAGGTGATAGCTTTTTCTCCCTACTTTCAAATTTTTTTGTTAAAAAATTCCTAACTTTACTGGTTTTTGAGATATCGGTGGTGCGCCTTTTTACCGGCTGACCTTCAAGCCCCGCTCTACTCTACATAATCAATAAAGATTTAATTTAAGCTATAAACTATATAAGATTTAACAGTTTATTTCACCAATCAAATTTTTGCTTTCATTAAAATGCGCTTTACATTTGATGACTTTTAAACATACTTATAATATCTGTTATTGTATAAATTATATTAATTTGTTTAACGAATTTTATTTCATCTATTTCGGTTTCTAAAAATGTATTTTCATTGAGTTAGGTTGTCAGCTGTAATCAGTAGCTTCCCTATGAAACACGAAATGATGTTTGCAAATTAATATAATTTATACAGATGTTTAGCATAGAATCTGATTAGAATCGTTTAACTCCAGGGCGAAATAATTAAATTTTAATTTATAATTATATTTTATTACATTTTTTTTTTACAAATTTGACCATCATCAATTCCACTAGTAATCTTTTAGTTAATGTACAGATTATTTATAGAATTTCTGATTCATGATTTATGCAAAGTGGGTTTTAAAAATAAAAATAATATTACTTTATTTTATAACTTCTTAGTATCAATTTTCAATATGAACAAATTGAAACTTCATAAAGTACATTTTATGAGGTGTTGTAAAATATATTGAAATGCAAAAAGCGTTTATTTTCATAGTCAATAATGGTTTATATGGTAATATCAATTTGCATATAAATTTGCTTTGTAATAATATTTCACCAGGAAGGGAGAATATAAAGCTAGGTGCACATCATTGCAATAATACATACATATTAGATAAATTTTATGATTTTGTTAGAAAAAGAACGAATTAGACATTTTTGAATTAAATTATATTTGAATTTACAATAACTACTTTACTACATTGCATTTTTTTCTGAAAATCTAAACACCTGATTACTTATAATTTGTTATTTTTTCTTCATGAAAACAATTATGACTCGTTCATGTTTAGCAATATAGAAATATATAATTATTTGTATTTATCGAATTTGTTGCAAAACATAAAACTAGTAGTTATGTGGGTACAGAGCTGGTTTTATGCAATTACGTTCTTGTTTTTATATTTTTCCACATTTTGTTTTAATTATGAAGAATTTTGCGGTAATAACAGGATTTCCAAGTGAGAAAATTGTATATCGGATTTATTTAAATGATTACAGAAATATTTTTTCATGATAACATATAAAAATTATTACTGTATAGAAAATGCAAAAGTAAATTTCCTTCTATTCAAACAAATTAGCAGCGAAAAAAATGTTACACATTATCAAAGAGTAGTAAAATTGAAACTAAGTAAGATATATAAAAAATTAGTGGGGTGCATGGCATCGTGCCTTAAGGCAAATTACTGGAACTTTCCGTACCGTAATTAAAAATCTTGGTACGGAACCCAAAGAAATTTACACAAAAAGTGTACAAATTATGAAAAAAATCTCTATAAAATATCTGATAATTTGATGTGCATAAGTCCAATAAACATTTTTGACCGCCAAATGACATTTTTTTAACTTATTTTTATTGAGATTCCATAACCGCTGGATCTGCCTACCCAAAAATTTAATCAGTTCTTTATCTTGTCAATACAAATAAAATGTTTTTTGAATTATTATAATCGGACGCTCCGTTTTCTTAAAAACTGAGTTACGGTTTTTCGCACTTTTTGCCCCGTATTTTCGGAACGGCTAGACCTGCCTTCGCCAATAACAAGTTAGCACGTTTCCTTATCAATGCAAACCAAATGTTTTTTACTCCAATCGGTTGATCCATGTTCTCGAAACCGTCGACGAAATTTTGTATCCGCACACACACACACAAACACACACACGTACATCCAGTTTTTCTAAGGTATGCCAAAATGTTCAGAAACCTCTGAAATGTAAAGATATATAAAAATTTTCATTTTCGATTTTTTTGCGATTACTATAACTTGCCCTTCGGGAAGTTAATAAAATAAGTCTATAATAATAACGCAAAATAAAATTTTGTGATATACAATTTTAATTTACCTATCAAAAATAACGCTTCTGCACAATTCTGTTTACTTTGTTCGACAGTAGCTATGTACGACAGTAGCTATAACGGTTTACATGACTAATCAAGACCAAAAAATATTTTAATAATGTTCAAGATCCTATTAAAAAAAGTTTGTTATTATCTACTCCTGTTACAATAAGCCCCTAGTTCTATTATTGAAAAAATATATATTTTTTCTAGTTTGAATAAAAATTTTAAAATTAAAAGACAGATAGATGAGCAAAATATTTGAATAAATTTCTTAAAATTTGAGTTCTTGAAAATTGATGTGAAGAATAAGATACTTTTGAATATAAAGATACTTTTAAAAATAAAATTTTTAAAACCAATACATGCTGCATATGCATTGGTTGATACAAAATATTTACATACATGATGATGAATGGGATGGATATTTTTTACCAAAATTTGATAATTTGTAAATTGAATACATTGAAATTAAAAATAAACTTTATTTCCAATATATCGCATTATCCTTGTATCTGTTACCTAAGATTTTTTTTATAAAAATACAAAATGCGTCTATGTGGATCTACGTCATTAGACAATTTAAAACAGTTATTAGCAAACCTGTTTGTATGCAAAAGCAGTATTGAAAGCCGAAAATGGGTCTCGTTTCTTGCATCTTACGTCTTGTATGCACTTCTATAAAATTATTAGCTTTCTTCCATACCAGTTTCCTAATCTACGTCACCAGAAGCTCTGGGAATACCCATTTGTAGAAATAAAATATTACTTGAAACCCACGTAATATGCAGAGGCGATTTAACTTTCTATGGGAAGGGACAAATGATAAAAAATGTGATGATAATAATGAACTACCCAAAGAAGCTTATGTTTAGGCCAGAAAATCTAACTTCCTTATTTTTTTTTTTTTTACGATTCAAGTCATTCTGAATTGTTAGAGACCAAAATGGAACAGGAAGAAGTATCAGTCTTTGACTAAAAATGTCCATTTTTACCTTTTGCAAATTGAATATTTTGAAGTAATACATAGGCATTTGATTATGGTATAGAAAAAATCTGTCAAATTAGAAGGTTCCTTGTTTTTGTGTTTACAAAAGTTGTAAAAATCATTTACGTTCCACTGAATTTTTATACGCTCTTCAAGTATTTCTACTGGTTAATTGTTACAAACTTGGTTGACCAGGAAATTGATAATATATATCATTAGAATTGATTGATAAATTTCTTGAATTATTGCACTTAATTTTATCTCTTTTTGATAAAATTTTTTTCTATTTATATTTTCCTGAATAAACTATTAGACTTTTCTCCATGAAGTGAATTCTAAATTATTATTTTTTCTTCTATTCTACTTTGTTTTCCCTCTTTCCCTGTAGCAAAGTTTTATAGAACTCGATGAGTACCCGCGTTGATTATTTGTTTTAAAATCAGTCGAGACGTTGCGTCATAATTTGCAAATTGTAAAGAAACGTTCTAGTTTCAGCCAAAAATCCTTAAGGAATTTTGAACATTCGAAAATAGTTCAAAACCTATTGATTAGTAATCGTGCAGTTTACCCTTTGACAAAGATGAGCCAAGACGTTTCTTTATAATTAAATCCTAAATATTTCTTTTTTGAAGATTTAAAAAAAACCTAACCTCGATAAAGTTCAAGGTCTATATTAGAGTCCAGAAGAAGTGCTGAAAAGAGTAGGCAAAGAAAGGACTATACTGAGAATGATCATGAAAAGAAAAGGAAGCTGGATCGGACCCATTCTGAAAAAAAATGGAAGCAGAAGTTTGGAAAGGAAAATTCATGAAAGCGAATATAAAGTGATTAATGGTAGTAAAACGGTAATGGAAATTATGAACAAGGGAGAGGATAAAAATCATTGATTTTGTGGTGCTCTCATACCATGGACCTGCCTTCAGACAGACTGCTATTTGTTATTATTATTATTATAGTCCTAATGTTAGAATTAATAAAACGCTTCAGGTATTTTAAGGTACAACACAATTAATATAATCATAGATATTCTAAGTTTTATAGAAAACTATTAATTAGAAACCGCGTTATTAGTTTCCAGTAAAAAAAAAA